TACTAGAAAAACCATAGCCTTGAAAATTCAGACCTTTGTAGGTAAAGTAATGTCTCCTCTTTTTAATATGCTGTCTAGGTTTGTCTTAGCTATTCTTCCAAGGAGCAAGCATCTTTTAATTTCGTGGCTGCAGTCATCGTCTGCATTGATTTTGGAGCCCCAAGAAAATGAAATCTGACACTGTTTCCACATTTTCCCCATCTATTTGCCATGAAGTGATAGGACTGGATGCCATGATCTTAGTTGTTTGAATGTTGAGTTTTAAGCCAGCTTTTTCACTCTCCTCTTTCACCTTCATCAAGAGGCTCTTTAGTTCCTTTTCACTTTCTACCATTAAAGTGGTATCTGCATATGGAAGGTTATTTCTCCCATGGTAGAAATATTTCTCTCTGTAGTCCTGAGAGAGAAATATGCTCACATTAGTTGTCAAGTAGGAAATATTACTGCTGAAATATGATATTAAGATCTAACACCACTTTGAAGCCTTGCCCTTTGTAGAGTTCTCTACCAGTTGTGTCAAAAGTTCTAAAACTGCTAAAATTATACCACTGGTTTCAATAAAACATCATTAACATAACTGTATTTTACAAAAACATAACCGTATACAATATCTTTTTTCGGTAATTTTAAACAAACATGCAAATTGTGTCCATCTGTGTTTCTATCCCTTTTACCTCAGTAGTATCAGGATACATAAACCTCTTCATCATAGCCTAAAAGCTGGTTTAAAAAAGATTTGTTTTGTGTTTACATATGTAGTATTTCCTCTTTATATATACCTAGAGTAAATTTTTAAAAAATATGCAGGGATATGATTGTTACTTGTGTGCGTTTGGGCTAAGTCGCTTCTCTGAGTGACCCCATGACTGCAGCCCACCAGACTCCTCTGTCCAGGGGATTCTCCAGGCAAGAATACTAGAGTGGGTTGCCATGCCTTCCTCCAGGGGATCTTCCCCACTCAGTGATGACTGTCACTTAAATCCCAACAAATGTTGGGGAAAACAATTGTATTAATAGTACCTCACCGCAAATTAAAAACTCCTGTAGGCACCTCAGGTAGGGTTCCTTTCTTTGGAGAAGAATTAATTATAATGAAAGGAGAAGTCTGTTTGGAGCAGAAGTGGCTTTTGAATTTATGGATGTGTTTTCAAGGCTTTGGACTATAGTAACTTCTTAAGTAGAGAAGAGTTTTATTTGGGAAAAAAGACGATGTGGTGTATTTTGCCTCATTGTGAAACTGAAATCCACAGAATGATTTCTCAAAAGATCACACAATTAGTAGCACTTTTATTAAACTTGAACATCATATTGTTCATGTGATACACAAGTAATAATTCCCATTTTACAAATGTAGGAACTGAGAAACTGAAGTGTCTCATCCCAAGTCAAGCTATGACAACACATTTGCCAAAATATAATTTTTCTGTTTCCCCATTATGTTCTGTGCTCATTTTAGACCACCAGGTCTGTGACTATGCCATGCATCTTGTTTTGTTCACCAAGTAACAGTCATCTCTGGCCAAAATGTTTGAGGGCTGGTATACTTGAGTTTAATTTTAGCTTCTTGATTCTAAATTCTTTAATTCCCAAGCCTCCTTGTTTGAGTTGTCTCATGACTCACTCTATTCATACCACATCTGGTTTCTTCTCATCCTCTTTCCTTTTGCATGAAGAAGCTCCGAAGCTACCTCTATTGGGATGAAAAACACCCAGGCCATGTGTCAGGGGTCGTAACGGACGGGAGAAGCCTTCTCCAGAAGGTCTCTGGGTAACCGCCCAGCCCTGGACCACCTTCGCACGTCCATCCTAAGACTGTTTCTACCTCTCTTCTCGGTAGATCCTACACAGGAGGCCACACAAGAGGGAGAGAGGCGGTAGGATAGACCTGGCCTGAAGTCCGGCTTGCCCATCACCGTGGGTCTGGCTTGGCCCGCTTCTTCATCCATAAGATGTTGGTGAAAGCGCCTGTCACGTAGTGACTGCAAGGGCTGGGACGGTGCATACAAGCTGCTCCCGCATTCCCCAGGGCTCTGCACGCAGCAGCTCTTAGTTCAGGCCCCTCTGCCCTCGGGCTGCATCTGCAAGGCCTGTCCCTCGGTGGATGGGTCTGCAAGGGAGTCCTTGGCCACGTGGCAGCCGTGACGGGGGAGGTCTGTGTCCCGGACGGCGTGCAAGGCCAGCGGAGCAGTGTTATTCGGCTGCCGGGCTGGGCTCCTGAGCAGGTGCACCTCTGAACCTTCCTGATTCAGGAGGGGGCGGCTCTGGATCCCCTAGGAGGTACCCAGGCCCAGTGGCAGGGAGGCCCGGAGCCGAGCGCGGCGCCTGGAGCTCGGGATGTGCAGCCTGAGAGTCATGCGCCCCCCCCCCCCCCCCGCCCACCCCCGCGCCCCCAACACCACACCAAGGGTCAACGGGTGCTTGGACGCGGGGCGGCGCTCACCGCGGGGGACGGGTGCCCTGTCGGGTACTTGACTTTCCGGGGCGGGGGTCGGCGGCCCTGAGCCCCCCCCACCCCGAGCCTGGCCCGGCTCCGGGGGCGCCCAGGCCGCCCAAGCAGCTGGCGGTCGGGTGCGCAGCGGGCCCTCGGGGAGGCCCGCGCCCCGCGCCCGGCTCGCGCCCGCGCGGCCCAGGTGAGGCGGCCCCGCGCCGGCGCCGAGCGCCCACTTCCTGGTTCGCGGGCGGTGCAGGGAGCGCGGGGCGGCCGGGCCGGGGGCGGGGGCGGCGGCCGCGCTGTCACAGAGGCGCGGGGCGGGGCGCGGCCTCTCCGCCGGGCCGGGCCGCCGCGCTGCGCGCAGCCGTTCCCGCGGCGGCCGGCGGGCGGGCGCGCCCCGCGACATGTAGCCATGGACTGCAGGACCAAGTGAGTGCGCGCGGGGGCGGCGGGGGGCCCCCTCCGCGGACCCCGGCCCCCCAACCCCGGCTCCCCCGGGCGGCCTAGGCCGCGGGCCTGCGGGCGGCGGGGGGCGCGCGGCCCGGGGCGGAGGCCTGGGCGCCGGCGCGGCGCTGCGGGTCCCGGGCGGCGGGCGGACGTGCGGCTGGTTCCCCCCCACGCGCCGGGCGGGCCGGCAGCTCTGGCGTGACTGCCCTCCCGGCGCTCTTCCAGGGTGTTTACCGGCGGTGCCGGGTCTCCCTCCTCCGGCCCCTTCTCAGGGCAGAAAGGTGCCCCGGGCGTGGAATACCGGCGCGGGCAGAAGGGGCTCGCGGAGGGAGTGTTTTCTGTGTGGTCGGCAGCACCCTTGGGTGCAGCTGGGGCTTTTCTTCAGGACCTTCAGCAGGCAAAAAGCCATCTGAACAGTGTGGTGGTTTTCTTTCAATTACCTGAAGGGCAGGAGTTTTATATTTTCCTCTGGAAACTTACTTCGCAAAAAAATTCCTTCTTTCTTCCTTTGACACCCTCTTAAACCAACCCCCCCACCCGAGTTCATGAATATCGTGTATATATTTGTTTTAGCGTTAAAAGCCTTTAACATTTCCCAGTGTTACAGAGTATTTTATATTTACGCTTAAGAGAGGTTCTAGAGACTTAGGAAAATAATTTTCTTCGGTGTTTGGTATATTGGGGGAGGGTGCTAGATATGGGACTTTAAAAAGTATATCTTTTGACATTAACTGGACTAGGAGGGAGGCTCACCTGAGTTCAGATTATTTCCACTGAAGCAACTTAATAATGGGACGGCTGAGGAAGCAGTATATTTGCAGAGTAATTTATATGGCTTGTCAATTTCTGTTTCTAGATTCTTGTAATTGATTTTAAAAAATAAGAGCACTTACTTAGAAGCCAACAATAGCTGTTAGTTTCTTGAGGGAAATGCATTATTAAAAACAGCCAGTGCACAGACAGCCAAGGACTCTGGTGGCAGGAATAACTGAAATACATGAACACTTTGGTCACATGGACTTTGTGGTATCAGACGTTGCTTGATCTTTTATCTTCTGGCAGAAATATATTAAAACAGAACTGTGTTAAAAAGAACACGATGTTTCTAAAGATGTCTCAATAGATTTCCATTCACTTTTTGAAATTAACAAAGTATACCTTGAATGTGTGAGCATTTAGTGAACGTTGGTAATTTCTGAATGAAGCAAAACCATACTGTTCTTACTGATCAACTCCAATATTGAAACAGGAGTCCAATTTTCCCAGATAGTTGACATTATCTTTTTGGGTTGGCCTCGGAGGCTATGTATAGTTTGGTACTTAAAATGTGCTTCCCTACTGTAATTCTGTCTCAAGACAATATATGCAAAGTTCCACTTTTAAGGACCATTATGAGTGTTTCATGGTGCCCTAGAACGTGGCAGGTGGAACCAGTCATTCAGTCGTGTCTGTATTGCAAGTCCTTTGATAAAAGCCAGAGCACCTGCTGTTAAGCTCTGCTGGTGGGGGAGGTAGAGCCTCTTAGGAGCGTGCTGGCTTTTCAATTTTGATTTGATAAGATAGAAGCAATGCTTTCTATTTATACAGCACTTAATACTTTATAAAGTACTTCCACATGTATTATGTGATTTGTTATCCTCACAGTTGTTCTGTGACCCTAACAAGGTACTTTCTAGGTGAGAAAGCAGACTCAGAAGTTAAATGTTTTTCCAAAGTCTCTGCACTGTTAAGCCTCAGTGTGCTTAAGTTGCTGAACTAGGAAAATGCTTTATTTCTTCTCCCTTGTGATCATGTAGTTTGTTGTTTAGTCGCTAAGTTGCATCACACTCATTTGTGACCTCATGGACTACAGCCTGCCAGGCTCCTCTGTCCATGGGATTCTCCAGGCAGGAATACTGGAGTAGGTTGCTATTTCCTTATCCAGGGGATCTTCCTGACCCAAGCATCGAACCTGGGTCTCACCTAAATTGGCAGATGGCTCTTGACCACAGAGCCACCTGGGAATCCTGGTCATATCATTACATGGAATCTATTGAGACAAGAACAGGATTAACTATTAGAGTTATGAGAATATAAACTTTGTCAGAGGAAAGAAATACTAACAAAGTTCTTTTTCTTTCAGGGAAAATCCAGAAAGAACCTTTGACTTGGTATTGAAAGTGAAATGTCATGCCTCCGAAAATGAAGGTACGTGTGTTTTGCTAGTTCAGAAGAAATGCTCAGGTTGTAGACAAGTGGAATGCGATGGTATCAGGATAGGACTTGTATTAAATATACCTTCTGTGTCTGCTGTCTCAAGTTCCGGTCCGAAAATAGAGGCTGGCTTTTAGCTCTGAGGTGGTGGGAATCAGGAATGTTATCTGTGCAGCTTAAATTTCAGGAGTGTGTAAGTGCCCTGTAACTCACAACTTTGTTGATGACGTTATTGTTAGTTACGGTGGAAGGGCGCACCCTTTCATATTCTTTCATTCCTTCTTGAAAATTCAGCTCCGGTTTAAAATGCTGGTGAAAATTTTCTCAGCGGTACAGGCGGGAGCCACGCCAGTTCCCGCCTCAGGTTCCCCAGGCGTGGAGTGTGGACTGGGTAACCCTCTCTGTGGGTGTTACTCCGGGAGCCGGGGGCTTTCAGGGCGGCAGACAGCCCTGCGGCGTTACCAGGAAGGGGCTTCAGCTGTCGGTGCTTCATCTTCATTTCCCGGGATGAGGAGGACACCTTAGCATCATGACTTCAGTCAGCTTTCCCCCTACTTTTGTGGGGGTGTGTGTGGGGGGTGGTGGGGGCAGGGCTGGTGGGTAAGAGGAGGCGATGTCCGTTCCTGGCGTTTCCTCTGCCTTCTGTCCCCGTGCTGCGTCTTTCGTGGGTATCTCCCGTGGGTGACGCCACCGCCTGTGTACTTAGACCTCAGATAGCACGATGATTCAGTGTGGGACTTTTGTCCAGACTGGTTGTCCACTCTTGAGGCTGGCTGGGAAGTCTCTCCACACTCTCAGCTGCCCAAACTAGCCCGCAATTACATGCTCCTAAGCAATTTGGAGTCGCTCACCTTAAAATAGAGGCGCCCAACCCAGCCGCGGTGAGGTGGGCAGGGCTAATTTTAGGTAGGAAGGCAGGCCGTTCAGGCCCCAGCAGCCCTGCCTGCCCCGCTCAGGCCTCTTTGAGCCGCAGCTGTGGTCAGGTTTGTCCCCAGGCGAGGGGAGATCCTAGGTTGTATGTGAGCTTTCTCCGGTTGAAGAGGTTATGTTTCGTTGCCCTGCGTGTATTAGTCTGCTTACGTTCTCTCCAGGCCCAAATAAGTTCTCGTTGAAGATTCTAGTGGATACGTTACTTTTTTTTTCCCAACTCCAATTTAAATTTCTGTAGTGTATTTACGATAGGAATAAATCTTCACAATATCTACCGTAATATCAGCTAAGGTGTGTGAAGTAATGCTGATCTGACGTGTTTGTAAAACAGGCTAAGTTCCTTTGGGCAGCATGGGTTTCTCTGCCATTTTGAATGCATGCTTGATTGCTGATGAAAGGGTGGGCCTGCCTCGTGGAACACCCGCTCTGTACCTGTGTTGGGGGGTCCCGAGTGGTCTACTCCTTACCTCCTCTCTCTGCCTTTATCCGTTTTTTTTTTTTTTTTAGGAGCTAGCCTTTTAGTAGGCATCTTGTACTCCTGCCCTTCTTTTATTACCTTCTTGCTCTTTTGGTTTCGTTATTGTTTAAATCACTGCTCATTGGAAACATCTTTGTATTTTAACTGTTTATCTAGCACGATGAAGTTGCAAATATTATAAGTGGTTAAAATAAACGTGTTTGGCTTCTCTGTAGGTGGCAGTTAATCTGTCCTACCCACGTATTCCATTAAAATGGCTCACTGGCAGCAGTCTAAAGATTTTTTTAAAAAGCTAAACTAAATTTTGTAAAAAGCATTAGCAGCAGTTCTTTTTCGATTGTGACTTAAATACTGTGAACTTGACTAACATTTTAGGGTCTAACAGTTAACTGTTTCTGTGCTCTAAAAAGTAATGCTACTATATACCTAAAGTTTTATGTCAGATTGAGAGTTTGATGTTTCTAAATGTTTTTAAACTAGTTTTCTGTTTTATTGATAATTATTGAGGGGGAAAATGTCCAGAAATTACTACAGAAAGTTATTGGGATATTTTTATTTAACTGTCAGTGAGAGCCCTTTATATAATGAGTCTCATATGTGCATCATTTTATTTTAAAATAGGACACTTTTTTTTGCTAACATTTACATGAACGTGGATGACATTCTTATGTTCTAATGGACATGTAAAACAGGATGTGTAAATTATGATGTTTTAGGGTACAGCATAAAACCAGTTTAGATCATAAGGAAACTTAATATTTCATAAAAGGAAGTCTGGAAGTAGGTCATCAGAGACGTCTTTCTGCCTCTGTGTCCTGCCACCCACAGCAGTGCAGTCGCTGGGAGCCTCAGATGCCCTGTGGTGCTGGCCTGGCTCTCAGATACGTTTGAGCCCTGCTTCTTGTTTATAACTCTGGGGATGGCAGACACTGGCTTGTCACGGTGCTGATTCTTTCCCCAAATCCCCCAGAAGGTCGGGTCCCAGTGGCCCAAGTCAGTCTGGGCCTGGCCAATCCTAAAGTAGCCATCCGTGGGGGTAGGGGTGGAGAGTGCAGTGACAAGATCATCATGAATGATACACTAAACAACTAGCAGGGAATAGGAGAATGGAAATCAATTAAAGTGCTCTTTGCCCTTCTTAAAACATTGGTTCATTTTCTGAATGAGTTGTTATTTCTCAGTGTATTGGTGTATTTTTTGATGACTATTTGATCCAGTAGGAAGTATGATGGCCGTGGTAACCTTGGTTTATGCTAAGATTGACAATTAAGGTATTTGGCATGTTTCTTGTTTACTTTTTAATAGAGAAGCTTTAACTTCCTTTATTTATCTTGAATGATTTAGATCATAAATCTCTTCAGGGGCAGACCCTCACTAACTAGGATGTAGTTAGTGATTTGAAGTGGCATCATAGGGGACTTCCCTAGCAGTTCCCGTCGGTAAGACCCTGAGCTTGTAGTGCAGGGGACGTGCGTTTGATTCCTGGTTGGGGAGCTAAGATTCCCACATGTCTTGGGGCATGATCAAAATAAATAAATACATACTTTTGTTGTTGTTGTTTAGTTGCTAAGTGACGTCGCACTCTTTGCGACCCTATGAACTGTAGCCCACCAGGCTCCTCTGTCCATGGGATTTCTCAGGCAAGAATACTGGAGCGGGTTGCCATTTCCTTCTCCAGGGGATCTTCCCTACTCAGGGATCGAACCCTTGTCTCCTGCATTGGCAGGTGGATTCTTTGCTGCTGAGCCACCAGGGAAGCCCAAATGAATAAATAGCCTTAAAAAAAAAAAAAGAAAAGAAATGGCATTGTTGAGATGTGGTTGAGAATGTCTGGCCCTGATGAGGGACAGTCTTCCTCTCACCTGTTTGGACTTGTTTCAAGGGCATTGCATGGGGTTTTCGGAAAGCACCCATCACATGTGATGGGGTGTTCAGCGCCGCTGCGAGTGGGTCGGCGTGTCCCTGCCTCTTGTCTCAGTGGGCTGGGTGCTGGGGGGTCTCTGTGTGGCTGCTTTCCAGGCAGGGCAGCTCCTCTGGTAGCTTCTGCCCCAGCCCCCGGAGAGCCAGGTGCTCTTCCCATTAGACCTCAAGCCGGCCGCTGTCATCACGCCTCTTCCACCGTCTTTTTCTCGCTTCCAGCTGTCAGGTGCAGCCAGCAGGGACGGGCTGCCTGCAGTTCTCACTGCCAAACTTACTGGAGGTGTGCCGCCTCCGCTTTCCCCCGGAAGGTTCAGGGAACTGAAAAGCGGCTTTTGCTCGAGGAGGGCGCGCCGCCAGCAGCAGGAGCCTTAGCCCCTGCTTGTGTGGTGCTTGAGTCACGGACAGTCAGTCCTGCATTCTTGACAAAAAACCCTGGGGGCAGAAATGAAGAAAACTTGCCTAGAGTTGCCTGGCTCCAGAGTCTCTATTTCAGTCTATTGGTTTTTAGTAGATTTGATAACACATAGATATTTTAAGAATCCGCCTGCAATGCAGGAGACCTGGGTTCGATTCCTGGGTCGGGAAGATGCCCTGTACAAGGGCATGGCAACCCACTCTGGTGCTCCTGCTGGAGAATCCCATGGATGGAGGAGCCCGGTGGGCTGCCGTCCATGGGGTCGCAAAAGAGTTGGACACAACTGAGCGACTAACACTTTCTCATTTTTCACTGCATATTTAAATCTGGAGCCGCTGTTGGCTCTCATATATAGTAGCTTTGCACAGGGAAATCAGTTCAGTTTAGTTCAATCACTCAGTCATGTCCGACTCTTCTCTACCCCATGGACTGCAGCACACCAGGCCTCCCTGTCCATCTCCAACTCCTGGATCTTGCTCAAATTCATGTCTATTGAATCGGTGATGCCATCTAACCGTCTTGTCCTCTGTTGTCCCTTTCTGTTCCCACCTTCAATCTTTCCCAGCATCAGAGTCTTTTCAGATGAGCCAGTTCTTTGTATCAGGTGGCCAAAGTATTGAAGTTTCAGCTTCAGCATCAGTCCTTCCAATGAATATTCAGGGCTGATTTCCTTTAGGATCAACTTGTTGGATCTCCTTGCAGTCCAGTGGACTCTTAAGAGTCTCTCCAACACCACAGTTCAAAAGCATCAATTCTTTGGCACTCAGCTTTCTTTATGGTCCAACTCTCACATACATACATGACTACTGGGGAAACCCTAGCCTTGACTAGACAGACCTTTGTTGGCAAAGTAATGTCTCTGCTTTTTAATATGCTGTCTAGGTTGGTCATAGCTTTTCTTCCAAGAAGCAAGTGTCTTTTAATTTCATGGCTGCAGTCACTATCTGCAGTGATTTGGAGCCCCCCAAAATAAAGTCTGTTTCTGTTGTTTCCCCATCTTCGCCATGAAGTGATGGGACCAGATGCCATCATCTTAGTTTTCTGAATGTTGTTTTAAGCAACTTCTCCACTCTCCTCTTTGACTTTCATCAAGAGGTTCTTTAGTTCTGGAGTATAAACTGTATGTGGTATAGGTACTTTTTTTAAAGCAGGAGTACAATGTCTTCCGGGAAATTAATGAATGAGGTATAATTCCTCAATGCTTACTGAGCTTTGTCCTTGTGGTATTCACACTGCACCACTCGTAGGATT